GGACAGAAACAGAGGACGTGTCTGAGTGCAAATCAGCACTGATAGTGAGCAAAATAAACAGGGAAGGGAGGAAACTTCTTTCCTTTGTCTCAGCAGTTTGCAGCTCCAGTCACTCCTAGTGTTTTTTTTTTACTGATCTGTTAAATCTGTGTTTTTCACTGTCTGACAGGAGGAACTGTTGTGTGTTCCTCTGTTCAAACCTCCAAGTGTTGGATCTGAGTAACAACCCTGCTCTGCTCTGTTTGTGTGAAGCTTCGAGTCGAAACATGTTTTTTTTTCTTTGCTCTGGAAGCCACCGTAAACACTTCCTCCTTAAACGATCTGCCCCCGTTAGAAAGCCAGTGAAGTGTTGAAAGCAGCACAACTCTGTGCTTTAACCACAGCGATGGCGTCAGCCTTGAAATGAAAGAAATCCCTTTTTAATCTCTTGGCTCAGGAGAAGTTAAGGCCTGAATCTGTCTCTGCTATCTGGGGTCTGGATGATCCCACAGAGAACTGGAACATCTCATTTCATCATCAGCTCCCCTGGTGCAGCTGGATGGAGTTTATTTTTTATTTTTTTTATTTTTTATCCTTCATAATATGTCTCACATAGATAACATATCGAACTCATATTCCTTCAGGAAATCAAGAGAAAACACTGAGCCCAACTTATTATTAATTTTTACAGACTGAAACAGCAAAAAATGTAAAACAATGCAAAAATAGGTTCTGAAAAATTCCATCACACAGCTTATTAGCTGTAGGGTTATTTATTTATTTTGTGGCGTTTGATTTTTATTCAGGGGTCACGTTCTGAAAAAAGCTGACAGAGCTCAAGTTTAAGAAGAGACAGCTTCCTGATTACGTTTATCCTGTTTTCAGAATTGTCCGCTCAAGTTTGTGAAACAACTTGTTTGTTCACATTGATTATCAGTTTTTGGAATGCCGTAAAACCAGATATGAATATGTGTTTTTGTTGTTTAGAATATATGTGTTTTTCTTTTTTAGAGTCAAGTAGACATCTCACAGGGAGGGTTGGGAACGAGTTGGAGACACTTAAATTTTGAGGAAAAATATAAGCAGATTTTCACACTTTTGGGCCAGAACTCACAAAGAGCTCGCATACATACCGATGTATGTGCAATTAATTAAAAATAAACTGAAAAGGTGTCTGTGGATATTTTGAGAAAAATATTTGTTGCCCCAAATTTTTTCAGCTTATTCAAAATTCCTTGGAAACAAGAGTGAGGCCTTGTGACTCGCACGTTGTCTTTAAGCCTCAGGAGGTCTTATGGGGAAAAAAATCAAACGCACATTTATTTTGGTCCATGTTTTTATTTAAAAAAACATGACTATTTTTGACAAAGCCTAAAAATCTTTTAAAAACGTTAATCTTATTTTGTTAAACACTCACAGTAACTTTTACAACCCTCTTGTGTTCCTCTGGAAATTTTGGCCACATTGAATACATTATAAATACAAACTTTGATCCTATATTTATCAATTAATAAAATGCAACTCTTCCAGAAATAGTAGCAGGACGAACTTCCTAATCAGACAAATTGTTTTAGTTGAGATGTAAAGGACAAAAGCTCACCTGCATTGTGCATGAGCAAAGCATTTAGCATATAAAGGCAGCTCCACGTGCGTGCAGGCTGCAGAGACGAACGCTCCACGGCGCAGAACAGTAGATTCCCGTTAGTTTCTCCCAAAGCAGGCAGTCAGTAGCTGATGCACCAGCTGCAGCTGCTCAGTAGTATTCGGGTAAAAACTATCAAAAACCTACATTGTGCATGAGTAGAATTTAAACAATACCAATTATAATAAAAGGAATATTTAAACAAAACCCTACATGTCTGAAAATCTGATGACCGAACACGTGTTTGACCAAAACCATGGCGTCATTTTTGGCCACTGGTCGTGCAGCATCCAGGGCGCCTTGTGGGTCTTCACAAATCTCTAAACTATATATTTCTTCTTCTTTTTTTATTGTGAAAATCATTTTTGAATTGACTGATAAGGAGAAACGCCTGTTATATTTTGTCAATTAAACAAAAAACTAAAACTTGATGTTTTTTTTCAGGCTGGTAGCTCTAAAAGACTGACTGGATTATTGTGGAAAAATATTTAAAGTATGTTTAGGTAGTTTTATAAAGTAGGTATTTTTTCCTTAAGGAACATGAATGCTCATAAAGTTAAAGGACATAAGAGTTAAAATAAACAAAACCATTATTTATAATTTCTCAAACATGTTTTATGTAAAATAGACTTTGTTGCCTATGCCGACTTCCTGGTCAGTAATTGAAGAAAGGAATAAAAGCCTAATTATTAAACCTTATTAATCCAAAACAGGTTAAAAGGAAAACAAAAACGACTGAACTTCTATTTGATTTTTAACTTTATTTTGGACTGCTCATGACCTGAGCAACCTTCACCATAATAAACCTTATTACTATTCACTCAGGTTACTTTAGTGTTTTTATGTAAGGCTTATTGCTCCTCCTGCAATGCTAGAAAATCCATCACAGCAAAACAACCATCAAAATGTAAGTTTCCAGTGGAAATAGTGTGCTGTGACCTTTGGTAACAATCCATTGAACAATATTGATAAAAAAGGTAAATTTAGATAACAACAGGATTTTAGTATGGCAATGAGAAAAGTCACACAACAGTGAAACTGCAAAGCACACACACACACACACGTGTACAAGAAGTCATCGCCACAGTTAGAAATATCAGTGAGCTGATTTGTTCAATTTAATGGAGCATCAGATTTAATGAATCACAGCATGACATCCCCGAGTCAACACAAATATCCCAAAGTAGTTTCTGTAAATCAGAGAACAACAACAAGAAAATAAAACAACAAATGTTGTTGGGCAGTCTGTGCTCCACTGGATGTTTACGGTTCCCCTCAGAGAATGTAACTTCATCTGCTGGACCTCGGTCCGGTACAGTTCTGAAGGTAAAAATAAACCCTTGTGCTGTTTCACTTGGGAAAACAACAGCTGACTGTTGTTWCGTCTGCTTCCAGTCACTTCTTTATTCAACAAAATGCCAACTGAAAGTGTGGGTTTCTGGCTTTTCTCAAAGAAACATTGAAAATCAGGAGTTCCCACAGCACCTCCTCCCTACGCCAAACTGCCGTAGCTTTACTGTACAGCGTTAGAGAGGAGATTTATTAGTTTATTGTGCTAAAGTTGGAGCACAGATCATGTCCTTTTTGCTGAGGCAGTGCTGATGTGTCATTTTAATGCTGAAACTTTGTGCTGATGTCTGACGATGATAGTTTAGTGATTAGTTTATGAAAGTTTTGAGATCATAAGCTTTTGTACTTTACTCCCTCTGAGCCATTGAAGCGTATCTTATCTTGAGAGAAAAAACTCTCCTCCAACATGGATCAGGGTTATATCTGAAGACTCTTAACACTCTTAAGTACATCTTTAGCTTCATTAGCCACAATATCACAGCGTGAATCCACCTCAATGGTTATTTCTTACAAAATGTTCACAACTATGTGGAACTTCAGCACTTTTGTGTGACTTTCTAATAAGAAATGGAGGATTTTTGTCCTCTTGATCCACCTGGAGTCTCTCGTGGTCTCCATGACCGCATGAAGCCGGGTGACAGGTGATGCTTAATGAAGTGTTAAAATGCTGAGTTAATGTTTAACCTCGAACACAACAGGGAAACTGCAAAGCACACACAGACGCACACGCATCAAGTCACCACCATTGTTGGAAACACCAGTGAGCTGATGGTCTGATTTGTCCGATTTAAAGGAACATCAGATTTAATGAATCACACAATGGCATGTTTACACTTTTCAGAACCTTTTATTTATTTTTTTGTTAAATGGGGAATGTATTTGTTTATTTGCTGTGTTTTGTTTCCAACAGGCGGCTATGCAAACCAGTGAGAATAAAGGAGCTGAGCTTTACACCAATGGCTGTGCTGGACACATGAACGGCACTGAGCTCACCAGGATGAAGGAGGTAGCGTTTGAGAAGAGCGCCTCGGAGCCGATGGTATGTTGTCTGACTCCTCAGGCGGATATATGGATGGATGGATGGATGGATGGATGGATGGATGGATGGATGGATGGATGGAACCAAATCATTGATTCCTGCTTGTTTCCTACAGGGGGTCACGCTGAAACTGAACGACAAACAGCGCTGCACGGTGGCCAGGATATTACACGGAGGGATGATCCACAGACACGGTGACCGACAGCGTTAGGAAGGGATCAGAGCCATGACCGGGGAATGATGGGTCAAGTGAAGGCCCATGGGCCAGATATGGCCCGTGTTAGAACTTGATTTGGCCTGTGAGAAAACATTTTAATTGTAGGGACAGATTCAATGAGAGCCCTTTTAAAAATGGTTTATTATCGCTTTATAAAAAGGTTATTTAAAGCAGTGGTTCCCAAACTTGGGGTCGYGATCCCTCTGTGGGTCATGATACATCAAAGGAGGGTCCGCATATGGTTTCCAGACATCAATTTAARTGCAAACAAATTGATAATATAATATTTCTGAGAAAAAGTTATGAACAATCAGTATCTTACCTGTTCTACGTAGCTCTTTTAACAAACGTAATTTGAGGCGAAACAAGTTTTTTCTGAAACTTTTCGTTTTTTATTATTTATTATTTTAGCAGTTAGCTCATCAAGTCAATGAAAATGAAACTTTGATTTTTCCATAATGAGTCTATTCAAAGAGCTATCTACAGCAGGTAAGATAGTATTTGTTAAAAACCATTCCACCAAAGAGACCTGAACAATAGCTTTAACAGCAGCGTGCTGAAAAGTGAATTTGGATTGATCTCTGCAGGTTCCATACACGAAGGAGATGAAATAGCCGAAATTAACGGGAAAAGTGTGTCAGATCATAGTGTCGATCAGCTCCAAAAGATTCTGGTACGTCTGTAACTTCTAACTGTTCGTTTATTTAAAAAAAAAAAAAGAGTTTTATATTAATTCTGTTTCAAGTCACTTCAATCACATTTGTCATCGTTAGAGAGAAACCACCGGAGTTGTCACCATGAAGATCATCCCTAAGATGCAGAATCGCTCTCGAGTCTGCGAGGTAAAGATGTCCGCCAGACCAAATTCTGCTTCTAACCTGGTTCTGTTACCGTTTCCTTCGGCTGCTGACGTGTTTGAAATGATTTTGTTCAGGTGAATCTTCTAGTCAGTGAACAGCTCAGGTGATTATGAAAGCAGATTAAATGACCAGCCTGTCTTTTACAGTAGATGTAGTGAATCAGCATGAAACACACACACACACACACACACACACACACACACACACACACACACACACACACACACACACACACA